CTTTCTCTGCAGGGTTTAGGAGGGATGAGGTGCAGATAGGAATAGAAGACTAAGGAGAATAAAGGAAAACCTAGAGAAGGGGGGACTGCCAACCAAACAAATGGAGTTAGCGTCCACTGGGGAACTGCCCTTCAGAAATGCGGTCTCTCTTCATTTCAGCACCTTTATTTTTTCTTTTTTTATAACTTTTTACTAAAGTATTATTGCGTTATAGTATCATTTAAGTTTCACATGTGCATCATTATAAACCAACATCTGTATATACTACAACATCGCAACTCTTTAAAAAGTTATACCTCTTTTAGCACAACTGTTCCATTTTTTGGTCTCTTAAGTACTCGCCTCACTTGGAGTTAGGGTTTCCTGTGAGCTGGGACTGGATGAATGTCCAGCCTTACAACTTTTTCCACTTAGTGTTAATTTGTTAAGCCTCCTCCGTTAATCCAGCTGATCTTCATGGTTTTTGTCTAAAATGTTTAAACAAGCATCCCTGTGAAAGTAGGTCATGTTTCTGTGCATTCTTCTTGTGGGATAAATTGTGACGATGCAGTTATTAGATCTCAGGTCATGCACCTTTCCCAGCGCGATTAAGCACTGACAGGTTCTCTGGAGAGCCTGGAGCGGCCTCAGTGCCGTTGGTAATGCGCACTTGTGCCTGCTTCTTGACCTTGCCACCATCGATGGTTATGTTCTTTTTTTTAATTACATTTATTTCTTAGAGCAACTTTTTAAAGATTTATTTATGCATACAAGAATTAGTGTACAGGCCAGAGGTGTGGGTATGAGAGGATTCACCAGAGACAGAGTGGGGAGCAGAACAGGCAGACTGAAACACACTGCTGAGGGGAGCAGCAGGCGAGTCAGGAGAGGTCTGCTGCGCCATGTGGCCGGGGATTGAACTTGTGCTGCAGTGGTTGCGGAGAGCTTCATACGTTGCGTCTTAACCCCTTGCACCACCAGGGAGGCCCGAGCAATTTTTAATTTACAGAAAAATTGAACGGAAGTATAGAGTTTCCATATACGTCCCTTGCCCCTGTTTCCAGTTTTTCCTGGTAACATCTTGCACTGGTGTGGTATATTTGCTACAGTCAATAAACCAATGTTAATGCATTATTGTTAACTAAAACCCATAGTTTACGTTAAGATTCATTCTTTGTGTGGCACATTCTGTGGGGTTTGACACATGCATAGTGTCAGGTATGCACCATTACCTGTCGTGCAGAATAGGTTCATTGCTCTGAAAATGCCCTGCGTTCTACCTGTTCTTCCCTCCTCCCTCCCCTTTCCCCCCTGCACTCTTGGTAACCACTGATATTTGTATTGTCTATAGCTTTGCCTTTTCCAGAATTTCATTAGTTGTAGAATTTCATACTGTATGTAGACTTTTCAGATTGACTGCTTTCTTTTTGCAAAATTTAAGTATTTACAGTTCCTTCATGTCTTTTTTGTGACCTAATAGCTCATTTCTTTTTATCACTGAATAATATTCTATTATATGGATGTTCCACAGTTTATTTGTTGAAGGGCCTCTTGGTTGCTTTCAGTTTGGGGCAGTTATGAATAAAGCTGCTGTAAATATTCATGTATAGGTTTTTCTGTGGACATAAATTTTCAGCTCACTTGGGGAAATACCTAGAAATAGGACTGCTGGATCCTGTGGTAAGAATATGTTAAGCTTCATAAGACACTGCAAAATTGCCTTCCAGAGTACCATTTTGCTGTTCCGTTTTGTACTCCCACCAGTGATGGGTGAGAGTTCCTCCACATCCTCGTCAGCATTTGGTGTTGTCATTGTTTTGGATTTTGGCCATTCTAGTAGGTGTGTAGAATGGTTTCTCATAATATGGACTCTTGGATGTTAATTCTCTTCTTTGATTCTTGGTAATTTGATAAGTATAGTATCATGATTCTTTTTTAATTACTAGTAAGTGATTTTTTTGTTTTTTTTCACTATTAGAATTTTTTGCTTGGGAAGTCATGTTGTACCCTTATTTGTATATTGGGAATTTGTTATTCTTGGAGATCTGTTTGTATCTGCCAGCATCAACCCTCTCCAATTTTTTTTTAAAGATGTATTTATTATGCATACAAGAACTGGGGTACAGGCCAGAGGTGTGGGGGGTGAGAGGACTCACCAGAGACAGAGTGGGGAACAGAACAGGCAGACTGACTGAAATATGCTGCTGAGGAGAGCAGTGGGCAAGACAGGAGAGGTCTGCTGTGCCATGTGGGTAGTTCCCTGGCCAGCCGGGATCGAACTCGTGCTTCACAGGATAGCTTCACAGTGCTGTGCTTAACCCCTTGTGCCACCAGGGAGGCCCCCCTCCAATTTTTTTTTTATTGCTGTAAAGTACATATAGCATATACCATTTTTTCTCATTTTTAAGTGTACAATTCAAGTGCACGTTTTTAATGTTTTTTTTTAAACCAACTCTTTTGACTTAATTTTTTTTTTTTCCTCAAAAGTTCAGAAGTACCCTGTCTTCCTAACTGAGATCTGGACATTATTCCATTTTGATGAAATAAATATAACTTTTCTGCCCGAGGGTGATATTTTAAATAGCATGATTTTTAAAAAAAACCATGATGATGCAGTTCCTCCCAATGCTGATTATTTTCAAATAGTTCTTCTCAAGCCATTGATGACCCCAGGCTGAATTCCAGAAACGATTCAGATACAACTTCAGCATGTCTATATTAATTTGCTTATTAGTGATTTGATAGTGGCCTTTCCTTAGGGTAACCCTTCCAAAATACCTTTGTTCTAGGCTTTTATTTTCATGGACTAAAGGTGGGTTTGAAACCCAGTTTAGTGAACCTGGTTTAGTGTTTACAAAGGTGTTAAAATTCACTTCAACGTATGACTGAAAATTAGATTCTTAAGTTAGTTTAACTGAATTCAATTCTGGAGTAACAGGGTCTACATATGTATTGCCCTTTTGGAAATGAAAATAATCCACCTTGCCTAATTACCTCCTTTTCTGTGACTAATTCAAATCTATAGAATTGTAGTAGCCAAATAGGAACCATACTAAAATGTGATTTGGACTTTTAACATCATTGTGCCTTTTGCAAAGAAATGTTTAGCTGATGTTTAAAATGTGTGTTGTGTTAATGCAAGTTTCTGTTATTAATTTCCTGTTTTCTCTTTAGTGTTTGGAAACCCACAGAATCAAGTCTGTTTCACTAGGGGTTTTTTAAAGTGTGCATTGAAGCCTTTTTCTATAAAAACAAATACTGAATCCTTTTACTACAGCTCTTCCAAATCTGGTTCTGATTTGTTTGCCACTTAACTCCCTGAGCCTTCATTTCTACCAACCTGCTGCCTCTTTGTCCTCGGTCAATTTTTCTATTTCCCAGTAAGGATTTTTCTGAGTGAAAATTAAGTAACTTTTCCCCCCCCCAAAGTCGAACATTTTTTTCTTCCCAAGTAAATGTTTTGTTTTGCTTGGGCTTCTAAGTACAGTCCCCCTCTGGGCTAGCTGAGGCAGAGTGTAGAAAGCCTCATTCCAACTATCCAGGAGTCCAGGTTGGCGTGGAATAGTGAACAGGTGCCTGTAGTCAAGGCAAAACCCAGCTTGGGTGTGGGTCTGATTAGATCACAGCCGTGACGAAGAGAAACACGAATATTTGGCTGCTCTTTAGTTTCCTGCCTTTTCCATCCCTTAATTTTCTGTTTTGAGAAGGCAATTTAAGCATAGTTTGTTCTATAGCGAGAGACCTAAAGATCCAAAGTATCTAAAAAGTCTTTGTAAATGTTATCTCGCTCCCAAAATTATAATTTATATTTTTGCATTAGGAAAAACATTTAAATATTACGAAGCCATTGTGTGTATTTCCTGTATCAGGCAACAGTAGGTTAAGTTCATTTGAAAATGCAACAAACAAACTGGGTTTGCCTCTGAGAGAGTCAGGAGTGCTTCCTTTTGGTTATTACCTTCTGTCTTGGCTCTTATCTCCCCCAGCCCCCTGAGGCTGTCCCCTTTACCCAGTTCAGGTCATGGGGAAACTGGTAAACCTTATATCCTCCAAGGGAAAACAGACCAGATGCTCCACTTTCTTCTCTCTGCACCCGCCGCCCTTTCTCAGAGGGGGAAATTTCTGGGATTTGTTTTATGAATCTGAAATGTCAAGTGCAGACAGAAACTGCTCAGACACAGCCATCTGGAGACAGTGACAAGCCTTTGTTTGGCTCTGCTAGTGTGTTTTTAGTTTAGTGCTAGCACAGGAGTTTTCAGGGTAAACCATCATTTAACAAAAGGAGAGGGAAAAAAATGGCAATTCAGACACTTGTTCATTCCTAAGAGCCATGTGTCCTCACCACTAAGATGGGGGCTCTGTTACAAAGCAGTCTCAGAAATCAGGGAAGGTCAGAGAACAAGAATGGTCACTATTTAAGATTTATAGTACAATGCTTAAGGAGGATGTAGCGGCGGGAGGATACGGTGCAGCATCTCTGTGATTCGAGCAGATGGGGTAAGAGGAGTCCTGGAGCCCTCGGTGGCTTTTTCAGGGTTTTATTGGGATTTACCAGGTACACGGCAGGCAGGAGTGCTGGCCCCCCGGCAAGTCTTCACTCTTTCTGGGCTCTCCAGCGTTCTCTCGTGGCCTTGCTTCTCTGCTGGCTCTGCTCTCATTCTCTCCTTGGCTCTTTCTTTCGCTCTGCTGGTGTCCCCGTGGCGCTGCCCTTATAAGCCCAGTCTCAGCCCAGGTGAACCCACCTGTGTATGGCCACACCCCACTCCAGGTGCCCGCCATCAGGCATGCATTCAGGACCACAGGGATCCTAATGGCGGGAGGGCAGAAAAGCCTGATACTTTACTTACCCTACAGAGGAAAATTGAATGTTGGAGTTATTTTGCCTGGACATAAGAACATATAAAGGAGTAGAGATTTGTTTTCCTTGCATTTAAGAAGGGTTATTTTGGGGAATGCACTACCAGCTATTCCCTCTTTCCATTGTGGTTAGGTCAAGGGCTGGGTTTAAATTGCAGTGGTAAGTGCTCGCTTTGGCAGCACATGTGCTAAAGTTGGAACCATAAAGAGAATATTAGCACTCCCCCTGCCCAAGGATGACACGTAAATTTGTGAAGTGTTTCATATTTTAAGTAAATAAATAAGTTGCAGTGTGGATGAGACAGAAGTGAAAGAACCAATATTCAAGTGTTTTGAGTGCTGAGTATGTCACTGTGTTAGCAGAAGAAGACATGCAGCAGATATTGAGGGGAAAGGATTCTGGGCCAACCAGTCTGGCTCTGAAACCTGGCTTCAGTGCTTATTAGTGGTGGGGCCTTGGACAAATGACTCCACCTATAAGCCTCATCTACTTCATCTCATACAGGAATAAGGAACCTACTTCCTCACTGGGTTACTTTTAAGATTAAAAAAGTTAATATAAGAGCTTTGAACAGTGACTGGCACATATTAAAGGCTATGTGTGGGGTAAATATAATAAACCTGGAAAGGATCTTAGGGTCATCTGTGCTAGTGCTTCATTTTACAGATTATCCAGGCCGACCTAGACAGTAAAGCCATTCTCAGACCTCATTTCCAGTGCTGTTACCACTATTCTTGGCTACGTTTTAAAAATACCCATTATTTCAAAAGCATTTCCCTTTAGGTTCCTCTTCCATTCCCTTTTCCTCAGAGCCAGTGCTTCCTGTGTGCCAGCACTGTGCTAAATGCTGACACGTGTCACCTTATTTAATCCATGCAGCAATACGTGAAGAGAGTCCACTGTTTCCCCCATTTTTTAGAAGTGGTGTCTGAGACTCAGAGTTACTTTCCTAAATCTACACAACTTTTAGGATTAGGGTTAGGATTAGGACATAGTCTGTCTGACTGAAGTCTGTGTTTTTAACCCACACCACTAATTTTTTTCCTCAGAAGCCCGAAGAGAGCATGTATGAGGTAAATTCAGAAGGGCCATTGCTGGCAGGAGCCACAGGGCCCGGCCATACAGATTTGAGGCCATTTTGTAATTCCTTTTCTACCAACAGCCTGCTTTGTTTTCAAACCTAGGTTTTTCAGGTGGCCTAGTGCTATTATACAAAAACAGGTTACCAAAAGAATCTGCTTTCCTAATTAAGAGCATGACAGTAGAAGGTCATGGAGTAGACCAGGAGAGGCGAGGGCTAGAACTTTCATGAGATAGGGACCATGTGGGGGTTCCCAGAGCAAGGTTGATGTCACTGTTGGGATCCCAGTAGAGAGGATGGGTCAGATGTCAGAATTCCCACCTCTACCAGTGGTTCTTCGTCATGAATCCCTGTGAGACACTGATGACAGTCTTAAACACCCTCTGTTCAGGAAAATGCACACACACCAAAAAAGGATTTTTGGGAAGCTTCAGGGCTCATAAATCCCAGATAAAAGCCTATGCAGTCTACAGCCCAGCAGAGCCCTTAGGAGCACACACACTAGAACCAGATGATCCAAGTTCAACTCTTCCGCTCCCACATAGCTATGCAACCTTGAGCAAGTTACTTAATGTCTTAGACTTCAGCTCCCTCAACTGTAAGATGAGGGTAATATTATTTAATTATAGGATTGTTGTGAGAAGTGAATTAACAACTATGTGAAATGCCTCATGCATGTTTAACACCACAGCACTGTTCATTATTAATGGTAAGAGTATTGCTGTCCCCAGAGCTTAGCCCAGTCAGTAAATGCTTATGGATAGAATGCATGAGTAATTAATTCTAAGGGAGCTGTCACGTCTGGGGTAGAGCATGTCACAAAGCAGCTGTAGTTATGTTAAGATATTGATCCACTCTACCCTTGGGGCCACGGAGTCCCAGCTGGCTGTTTAAGTGACGGCACTTGCAGTGTGATGTACAAATACCCTTCTCTCAGGGTATCCTAAGGGAAAAAGTTTTGGCCACACTGATTAGGTAGTAAGAATCAAGCAGGCAGTCTAGACTCTTAGCTCAGGAGAATTTTGTGGATGGGAGGCAAAGATCATCTTTACCAGTGAACCCAGAGCAGAGGCTTCACCAGCGGGGGCTCTCAGGCTGAGTAGGCTCCATGCCACAGTACAGGCAGAGGAGGCCCACCAGCAAGATGGTCCTGCACTTCCCTCCTCACGCTCAAGGGCCTGGTGAGTGATTCCACAAGGATTTGGGGAGAGCCCCCCAGTGAACCCGAAACCAGATTGGAGCCCAAAGTCTTATGTAGGCAACAAATGGTAAATAGGCAGTGACAAGTACTGAAGAAAGTGACTCCAGGAGTGAGTGCAAGTAAGAGGTGGTGCCCAGGGCTGCAGGGCCTTATACTGGGGCTCAGCCTTACCTGCTGGATGGATTCTGAGGGCAGCAGGCAGCCATTGACATTTTAATCAAGGAAGTGGTAGATTTAGGTTTATACATATTTTAAGTCACCCCACAAAATGTTAGAAAATGGGCAGGAAGGGCCTCCCCAGTGGCGCAGTAACGCAGTGCTGTGAAGCTGTCCGCAGCCTCTGCAGTGCCAGTTCAATTCCTGGCTGGCCAGGGAGATTCCCACATGGCACAGCAGACCTCTCCTGTCTCGCCCACTGCTCCCCTCAGCAGTGTATTTCAGTCAGTCTGCCTGTTCTGCTCCCTGCTCAGTCTCTGGTGAATTCCCTCACCCTCCCGCGCCCCTGGCTTGTAACCCAGTGCTTATATAAATAAATAAATCTAAAAGAAAAAAAAAGAAAATGAGCAGGAAAAGGTAAGCATTCGGGGGCACATACAGTGGTCTAGAGATGAGGTGATACCTGAAATTGGTACCTACACTTTTTTTTTTTTTAATTTTTTTCAAGGTGTTTTTTTTTTTTTTGGATTATTTATTTATTTATTTATTTATTTATTTATTTATTTATACAAGCACTGGGTACAATCAGAAGAATGGGAGGGTGAGAGAATTCACCAGAGCCAGAGTGGGGAACAGAACAGGCAGATGGATGAAACACACTGCCGAGGGGAGCAGAGGGTGGCAGGAGAGGTCTGTCGTGCCATGTGGGACCCTCACCGGCGGCCGGGGATCGAACCTGTGCTGCAGAGGCTGTGGGCAGCTTTGCAACCCATCGCTCAACCGCTGCACCACCAGGGGAGGCCCTACACTTTTTTTTTTTTTAAGATTTATTGATTTATGCATACAAAAACTAGGGTACAGGCCAGAGGTGGCAGGGGGCGGGGGGCATGTTGGTGAGAGGATCCACCAGAGACAGCCTGGAGAACAGAACAGGCAGATTGAGTGGAATACACTGCTGAGGGCAGCAGCAGGCAAGTCAGGAGAGGTCTGCTGCACCATGTGGGTAGCTCCCTGGCCGGCCGGGGATGGAGCTCGTGCTGCAGAGGCTGAGGATAGCTTCATAGGTTGCGTCTTAACCCCTTGCGCCCCCAGGGAGGCCCTAGTACCTACATTTCTGAGGGAAAAGGAGGAATCAAGCATAACCCTAGAAATTCTAGTGTCATCCCTGAGTTAGAGGATACTGGAAGTGGAACATTTCTGGGGGGCAGTGGCACGTTGTGAGTTCTGATGGTGGCTTGTTCCGTCTGTGATGCCTGTGGGAAGTTCACTGTTCACAGGCGGGTGGGTGTTGGAATGAACAGAAAGCAGCAGCAGCCAGTGTGTTGGCTGCTGGCTTTCAAAGGCCTCCTTTCCAAGGGGAGCAAGTTTAAAATGGATTTTGATCAATGGTATCTTATTTTACAACCAAATTGGCTGACATGCTTCTCTCATATACATAACTTTTAAAATTCTTAGATCTGTGTCTTTTGAATCCTCTTCATAAAACTACAGTAGTTCTCTACTTTGAAGAATTCATCTTTTTTTCTTCTCGGCTGGCCTCATTCACTCTTTCCCTGTGTGTCCTTGCAGCAGGAGGAAGCTGTGCAACTCATAATGTGTGACACTGTCCATGTTCTCAGATTTGTGACCCAGAAGCAAGCCTCTCACCTCAGCTGTGGCTCTCGGTGCTGGCCAAAAGCCAACTTCATGTCTGAGTGCACGAGCAACAGTTGGCAATGGAGAGCTTGGGGCTGCAGACGGTGACCCTCAGTGATGGGACGACAGCCTATGTCCAGCAAGCTGTCAAAGGTGAGTATTTCTGTGAAACGCAGAATCCCATCCTGTCTCCATCCTCTGAAGAGACATGTCCCCTTCCACAAGTCTTGCCACCATTCCGCCTGCTCTCCTGCTCACCACGACTTGCTCTGCGTGCAAATCTTTGATGAACTGATGAAAAGGAAACTCTTTAAAAATACCATCTAGACAAGCTAGAAAATCAGACTAACCCAGCTGTAGGAGCCAAAACCTTTCAAAGGCAGAACTCCTTACATACAATGAGTTGCTCATCAGTATTTCAGGACAAACATATGGTTATGACTTCCTGCTTTTCAGATACTGTCATTTCTCAGTGCTTTCTAGAAACAGTTTTTCCTAGTTCAAGCAAGTTTAAGCACTATCTACTGAACATCTGTATGTACAAGATATTCTTCTGGGTTCAGAGTAGGACACCCAAGCATAGAAGTCATGCCTCAGAAATAAAAATACAGGATACACAAAATTGAATTGTAGATAAACAATAACAAAAATATGTGTGGTTTAGGTATGTCCCATATACTGCATGGGATTAAATACTAAAATGATAATAGTAAATACTAAAGTAATATCCATTGCTTATCTCAAATTCGGATTTATCTCAAATTCGGATTCTCAAGGAATTTGAAATCAAGGTGGGCATGGAATCAACAGAGTGTCATTGAAAGACAGCAGCTGGGGGCCTCACTGGTGGCGCAAGGGGTTAAGCACTGCACTATGAAGCAATCCGCAGCCTCTGCAGCACAAGTTCGATCCCTGCCTGGCCAGAGAGTAACCTACATGGCACAGAAGACCTCTCCTGTCTTGCCCGCTGCTCCCCTCAGCAGTGTATTTTAGTCAGTCTGCCTGTTCTGTTCCCCGCTCTCTCTGGTGAATCCTCTCTCACACACACCCTGACCTCTGCGTCTCTGGCCTGTACCCCAGCTCTTGTATGCATAAATAAATAAATCTTAAAAAAAAAAGTATTTAAAAAAAAAAAAAAGACAGGGCCTTTGGAGCAGGGACACTGCCCTCACAACAGGCTCCTTTCTCGCCAACATTCTCCACATTCCAGATGGTGTGCATGTCTTCTTGGACAGCACAGGCCAGCACTACTTCATTCCTACTCTTGATTTTGCCTTTTCTAGACTCTGAGCATTGTTGTCCTCATGACTGCACCGCCCTTGAAACGTCCTTCTTCATTTCAACGAATTGTCAAATGTATTTCAGTTCCCAAATTTGTGCATCAGTTGTTTGTTGATTTCACTCCTGATGATGACAAAAGGCCCTTTATCCTCATAGCAAGCTCTTTCCATATGACAAGGTGTTGGGGGCTTCCTTCCGGAAAGCTTTCTTGACAAGAGTTGTCCATGACGCATGGGTCTGGCTGACTTCCTTTCTTGAGAGTGCAACTTCCCTAGGATACTTTTGATGCTGAAACCCTTTGTTTGTAGACTTCCCAGCACAGGCCTTATCCATTGCTGCAACCTAAGTAGCATGGAAGAATAAGGAGCTGCAGGCAGGGCTGTGATTACTCCATCACCCACTAATTTGCATACCTCAGTATTCAGCTATGAAATAATGGTTGAGTAAATGATAAAAAGCAAGTGGCCACACTTGACCTGGGAAAACTCACTCTTCTTAGGTCTTTCCTTCTCCTGTCAGAGTCCCTTTACTTCCCCAACCTTTCCATTTATGTCTCTCTCACCACTCTTCCTGGCTCTGTTCTTTGCTTTCTCCACAGTGCTGCAGTGTGTGTGTGCATACTCACACTCATACACAATAGATATCACACTGCTGAGGGTAGAGCTGGCCTGTCAGGAGGGGCCTCTCACTGGGGAGCGCGTCTGAAACTCTTGACTGGGCACTCTCATCTCTGTCAGCAGAGAAACCCTAAAACTTTATGAGACTTATCTAAAATTAGAGCAAGCATAAAAATTTCATTCAAGGAGGCCTCCCTGGTGGCACAATGGGTTAAGTCTCAGTACTATGAAGCTATCAGTAGCCACTACAGCACGAGTTCGATCCCCAGCCAGGGAGCTGACCCACATGGCGCAGCAGACCTCTCCTGTCTCGCCCACTGCTCCCCTTAGCAGTGTATTTCAGTCATTCTGCCTGTTCTGCTCCCTACTCTGTCTCTGGTGAATCCTCTCACCCCCCCATACCTCTGGCCTACACCCCAGTTCTTGTATGCATAAATAAATAAAATCTTTTTTAAAAAATGTCATTCAAAACCAACAAGTTTGAGAGTAGAAAAGTGTGCTATGAATAAATGGGGAACTTACCTGTTCTGGGTAAGTGGGTGCTATGGTGCCCCCCCTCCATAATGGGATATGCAGGCCATGTCAGCCACCAACCTCTCCCCATTATAGTCTTTGGTGGTTAGAGGAAATTCTAGCTTATAATTTTTTCTCAAATAGCTCTTGTCAACATTTTGTTTTCTTTCTTGAAGCACTTTCCCCTTTTTTATTTTTTATTTATTTTATTTTATTTTTTTACTTTCCCCTTTTTTAGCAGAATCTGTGCTGGTACTTCCAGAACCTCAACTACTGGTGACTTTGCCATGATAGATAAAATATAAAAATGTAGGTAGCTTACTGCTTGCAGGATGGAAGGGAAGAGAGCGGGTCCTCCCCCATCTCATCTGCCTTTCTCTCCTACTTTTTACCTATGTATTCGTCTTCTGCTTTTTTTTTTTTAAACTTTACCTTACCTTTCTTCACCTGGGTGGTAGGACTGTTACTGACCCAAGAAAATTCATTTTAGGAGTAGGGTCAGGAATTCCTCTGAGGTGGAGATAGCAGAGAGCTGGACCGGAAGCACTTAGCCTGGTCCTTTGCCTACACAAGAACTCAAACTCCTAAACCTTGGGGAAACTGCAAAGAAACAAAAGACTTGTTATTAACTCTTCAATCTCCCTTTCCTTGTATCTTTCTCACTTCCTTTCCCTTTGCCCCCCTCTAAAATTGTGGACACAGAGAGAGGCCTACCTAATTCTCATTCTAAATCTAAGAGTTTTTTTCTTTTAAGTGCTTTGTATTAGGGATCTGAAATAAAGGGTGATGGCTAAGACTCAGGAATTTTATTATTTAGCCTGTGTGTTGCCTTAGGTGACTTGATTATTTTTGTGAGAAACTGAAGTGTAGAGGTCAGAGATCAGTGAAGGAGACATTACCCAACAGTGGCAGTAGAACAAGACTAAGGACACAAAATAGCATAGTGGTCACATTCACATAGCTCTGTGCTGCTTTCTTTCTGTTTCTTCTAAAATGTAGAAATGGGGTTATCATAATAACTAAGGTTTATTGAACACTAACCACATACCCAGCACTGTTCTAAGTGTTTTATGTTTATTAACGCAGTTCACTATCATGCCAGTGAAGACACAACTTTTAATCCTCTTTATAAGAATGGGAAAGGGAAGCACGGAGAGGCTAAATAAGCTCTCCCAAAATTACAGCACTTAAAAGAGGTAGAGCTGAAATTCAAACCCAGGAGGTCTGACTTGTTCCAGGGCCCATTCCTTTTTATCACTGAGCTGCTCTGCCTTAGCAGACTGTCACAGTGGGAGATGAATATATTTTGATTTAGGTAATTTGGGTCATATCTAAATTTTGTTTTTTTTTTTTTTTTTTTATAGAGGCATGCTTTATTTATTTGTTTGCTGGTTTGTTTGTTTGTTTTGTTTATATAAGCACTGGGTACAGTCAGAAGCGCGGGAGGGTGAGAGAATTCACCAGAGCCAGAGCGGGGAGCAGAGCAGGCAGAAAGACCGAAGTACACTGCTGAGGGGAGCAGCGGGCGGCAGGAGAGGTCTGCACGCCATGTGGGACCCTCCTCCGGTGGCCGGGGAGCAGCCGGGGATCGAACCGGCGCCACAGAGGCCGCGGGCAGCTTCTCAACCCAGCGCTCAACCGCTGCGCCACCGGGGAGGCCCACATATCTAAATTTTGATCCTTTGCAACTTTCCTAGATTTCAGACAGCCTTTGTCCTTCATTTCAGCCATGTATTATTTGGTTGGAAGTCCCTACTTTGGCAAGTGTAGGTAGAATAATACATTAAGTTGCTCCTGCAGCGGGTGACAGGAAGGGAGTCTGTTGGGAACTGTAGGGTTTTTCATGGAAATATGTCTTCATTCCCATTGCCTCTGAGGCCCAGGCCTGGGGAGGCAGGGAGCCAGGCAACATGGAGAATATCTTCTGTGCTTAGACACACAGACTGTTTCAGTCAGGCCTCAGCTCTCTTCTGGGCCTGGTCCCACTTCTCTCCATTCCCACCTCCACAGGAGAGAAGCTGCTCGAAGGGCAAGTGATCCAACTTGAGGATGGGACCACTGCATATATTCACCAAGTGACAGTACAGAAAGGTGAGACACCCCTGCCTCATGGAGGGAAGCCAGGCAGCCCCCACTAGGGACCCCTCAGTGGCTCTGAGCTCCAGAGAAAGGCTGGCATTTCTCTTATTACAGAACCTCTTTCCTTTGAGGATGGACAGCCCGTTCAGCTGGAAGATGGCAGCATGGCTTATATACACCGAACACCCAAAGGTGGGGTCACAATCATCAAGACCGGTGGGAAGGATGGGAGGCAGAAATGGCAGAGGTTGGGGCATGGGGTGGCACACCCCAGAATTTGAGGCATACACATGGGAGCTATGGCCCTGACGGTACAGGTTGGCCCACCTGGATTAACAGCCTCACCCACCATCCTTGGTACATGGGAGCAGCTGTTTCTGGCCCCACCAAGCTGAGCCTTGGGGCTTAACAGCATGGACCTTGACAGCCTTGGCTTCAGCACAACCATAAAATCTTAGGACTTTCAGTAGGACCTGAAGACATCTTCTTAGACCAGGAATAAAAACTTAACTAACATTTAAGAATAAAGCTGCTAAGGTATTAAAGAATAATATTTTATTGCTTCTACAAGTACTTTCTTAGGTGACTACTGCATGCACAGCTTTGTCTAGGTGTGGAGTATAGCAGGGAGACCAAAGGAGACACATTTCCTGCTCTCCTAGAATCTGGTGGGGAGGTAGAAGTAAATGAACCATGACTGATGAACCAATAATTGCCAGTGAGGATCAGGGTCAGGGAGAGCTCATAGAAAGTAATGCTTGAGTTGAGAGCTGCACTATGAAGTGGATTTAGCTAGGGGAAGAGGGATGGCAGGAAGGGTTCAATACTCGAGACAGAAGAAACAGCATATGTGGACCCAGCAACGGAGAAGTGTGGAGAAAGAATGGCATGTTCAAGAAGCTGCTGGGAGTTCACGTGCTGGGGATGAGGGCAGAGGGGCCAGGTGAAGCAGAATAAAGAATGGCAGGGGCCAGAGCATCAGGCCTGAGTGTCAGGATAGGGTTTTGGGCTCTATTCTGAGCCCAGCTGGAGGCAATTGAACTGTTTGGCCGTCAGCTAACATGATGATATTTGTGTCCGACAAAGATCCCTCTCTACTGCCAGAGTGAACTAGAGGGGTGAATTAGAGATTTTTGTGGTCCTGTAGGCCAAGATGACTATGGTTCCCTCAGCTCTTGTCCTGGTGTGTCATCTGGGCTAACTGTGTGTTTCCTGCAGAGGGCTATGACCCCAGCACCCTGGAAGCCGTGCAGCTGGAAGATGGCTCCACTGCCTACATTCACCATCCCGCGGCTGTGCCATCCGAAAGCACTATCCTGGCTGTGCAGACAGAGGTGGGCTTGGAGGACCTGGCCACAGAGGACGATGAGGGCTTCAGTGCAGACACAGTGGTGGCCCTGGAGCAGTATGCCAGCAAGGTGAGCATGCAGAGTCTGACGCAGCCCACCCGCCATCTCAACCATGCCAAAACTGCCACCTCTAGAGGACAAGCATAGTCCTGTGCTTGGACACGGCCTGTACTACTTATTCCTCCCTGGCTTCCCCTACTCACCTCTTCAGGGTGTTCATGACAGGGTGCAGACAGCTGCTTACACTCACTCTTGTTTATGCTGCCTTTGCAGAGCGAAGACAACTGTAAGATACCGTGACTTTGTATGGTGAGAATTTAGGCCCAGCTTCACTCGAGCTGCTGTAATAATAATGCTCTGTGCTGCCTGAGAAAACCCTTGCCAGTGATTTTTATTAGTTTTCCAGTCCACTGAGTTCAGATGTTCTTGTATTTATTTTTTCTGTGCTACTCATTTAGTCATTTGGGAATGCAACCCTAGTAGGCAGTGACGAGGATTCTTGCAGAGCAGCTGGGATTCTTGGAACATGAGGCCTGCACAGTAGCTCAGCTGCAAAGGAGAAGGATCCCTGATGTCCAAGGTCTGTCAGTCCAAGCTCTACTGAAACCACGATCCTGCCCGCAAAGGAAATAGGTGTAGCTTTCCAAGCTGGGTCCTTCACTCCCTAGGATGAACCACAGAGCCTCAGGGTGGATAGAGTAGATTTCCCGGAGCACGAGTTTTACCAAAGATTGGGGGGAATTGTTTTTATAATAAAACTAATGTGGCTGTCTCATAAAAGAAAAGAGCGGATTCTCAGCGTCTTTTCAAAATGAAGTGTAAAGCTACAGCAGGTCACTTTGGGCCATGACAACTGCTCCTACACCCCAAGGTATATTTTAAAAGCCAAATCTGAGACTTGCTGGTGATATAAGATAACTGGGCTTTAAATCATAAGTACTGAAATTGGTGCTGCCTTTGCCTCTACCTGGTCTGACTTTCAGTGTTAGACTTGGAGCTCTAATAGGATGAGATGGGACCAGATGATCTCAGAGGTCACTTCTAGCCTGATGTTTCTTGTTTCCTTCAATTCTCTTAAGATCTAGGGAGACATGGGAATGGAATCTGAATGCCTGAGTAGATTAGCCTGCTGAGTAGGCCTGACTACCTGTGACTCTCACCCCCCTATCCACCAGCTGCTTACGTGACCTGAAGCTTGCTGTACAGTCCTTGCCTTGAATTTGGCCTGATTCCTTTGTCCCCTGTTCACTATGACTTTCAGAGTTCTGTTTTAGGAGCTCCCTGAAAGGCCAAAGTGTCCAGAAACAGAAACCAATGTCCCAGCAGGATCCTTCCCAAGAAAATAGAATAGTGCAGTAAGGGTTCCCTGACGCTAGAGGCTAGTGTGAAATGGGTAGCTCTAGTGGTGTTTCCAGAAGAGATGAAAGGGAAGGTCTCGTTAGCTAGTGGACAATGGTTAGAACTGAGCCTTTTGGTGGGGGGCTACAAGACCCAGCACTGGGTGCTCTTGCGGTTTGCTCTTGCAGCCCTTCACTCTGGAAACCAGACGAGCTCGTCTCCATGACACATCCCCTTGTTAATGTCCCTTCTGAGCACGGGTTTCCCACAGGGAGGAAGGGGGCCCCTCCCATCAGAGAATAGAGTTGTTCAGAGTTGCAGCCTTGGCGTGTGCTGCTGGCTTTCAGCCTAGCTCAGGTGTGGCCTTTCAGAACACCCCTGTGTCCCCCCCCCCAAACACTTACCTAGATGTCTATGGAATGTCCTTTCTTTCATAGGTGTCATAGCCACTGTGAGACATAGTCCTCCCTCTAGCAATCAGAGATGAGTGGTGACTTCACATGCTAGCCCTATTTCTTCTGCAGCTTATCCCAATGTCTGTTCTTTTCTCTCTGGATCTGTCACACTGAGTTACCCTTCCTTCCAAGAGGTTTAATCCTGATTATTGGGATTTAAGCTGCCAGCTGGGCCCTGTGTCCCAACTTTTCCCTCCCTTCACTGAGGAGAATACATATGAGGACTCCCCCCAAATTTTTTCCTCAGGTTCTGCATGACAGCCAGGATCCCCATAATGGCAAAGGGCACCAGGTTGGGGACAGAGCATTCCGCTGCGGCTACAAGGGCTGTGGGCGTCTCTATACCACTGCTCATCACTTAAAGGTAAGATTAGCACAGAGAGCGCTCAGCCTCGCCAGCTTCCTCACCAGACCAGAATTCCACATTTCCGCTTAGCTTGTAACTGGTCCCCGCCCTCAAGTTGCTCACTGCCTGCTGGAAGAGATATAGAAATGTCAGTACAGGGGGCTGTGCACAAGGGAGAAGAATCAGGGAAGGCTTTCAAGAGGAGGTGACCTCTTGACTGAAGAAGAGGCAAAATAAGGGCAGGCCAATACTGATACCCTTGGGCCCTAAGGAGAGCTGAAGGACCCATTCATACCTCTGAATTATGTGATTGCTTGCCTCACAGGTGCATGAGAGAGCTCATACAGGTGACCGTCCATACAGGTGTGACTTCCCCAGCTGTGGAAAGGCCTTCGCCACAGGTATCCTACCTGGATGGAGATCAAAGGTGGGCCGCTTCCAGTTGAGGTCAGAGAGCTCTAGATTAGTTTTTAGAACTCCCTCAAGGGAACCCAGCACAAGATTACTTCCTGGAGAAACTGCTGTCAGAGTTCCTTGACTTACAGGTGCTCTCCTTGGAGGCAACTTGTATGGAAGCAAGAGGCACGTGGTCCGGGCCACTGGGAGTCTGGAGTTAGTAGAGAGACCCTGCCTCTGTGTTGGCTCTGACGCTGACCGTCTGTGGGCTGTTTGGTCAGCTATTGTGTCTCTGTGGGCTTCAGTTTCTTTCCCTCTGAAATAAGGGCCTTTGGTCACAGGCTCTCTTGGTCTCTTGGTTCCTCCTCATGGGGAATGGAATGGAATCAGCTGCCTGGTGAGGGGAACAGAGTGTGCCCTTCTTTATTGGCCCAGACAGGTGGGATAGAGGAAAACACAGGCTTCTTGTGTCCAAGGAGGTCTGGTACCTCACAGGGCACACCTTAAGACAGAGAGCCTCTAATTTAGGAAGATGAGGCAGTGAAGAATGAAGCCGCACTGAGTGTTCTTCCCTCCCCCCGACCAAACATGGGCAGGATACGGGCTAAAGAGTCATGTGCGTACACACACTGGTGAGAAACCATATAAGTGCCCAGAGGAGCTGTGCAGCAAGGCCTTCAAGACCTCAGGAGACCTGCAGAAGCATGTCCGGACCCACACTGGTAGGCTGGGCCCTCCCTCTGCCCCGTTCCTCAGGGAAGGGGGACCTGAATCCCCTTTCAGTCTCGGACCTGGAGCCCAGTGCTGTCCCTGCACTTTGCTCCGGCATGGCTCCGGCATGGCCACCCTTCCTGAGCCACCCCTCACACACCCCATCTCCACAGGTGAACGCCCGTTCCGATGCCCCTTTGAGGGCTGTGGTCGCTCCTTCACCACATCTAATATCCGCAAGGTACATGTGCGCACCCACACGGGTGAGCGGCCCTACACCTGCCCTGAGCCCCACTGTGGCCGTGGCTTCACCAGTGCCACCAACTACAAGAATCACGTGCGCATCCACACAGGTGGGCCAGCTGGCATGCAAGGACCACCCCCTCTGAAGCCCCAACCCCCTCACTGTAGACTTCTGACCTGAGGCTCAGTCTTGGCTCACAGCCCAGAGCCCTTCTCTGTGGCTCTTCCAGGCTGATGTGGGGGAGGCGTGATGGGGTTCCTGTGATTCCAGCCCTGTCCCCAGTCCACTTGTAGTGAGCAGTTCCTCCATTTCCACTTAGGTCCAATCTCACAGGTATTGCCAACCCTCTCCGGAGTCCCCCTGCTCCCTGCCACCTCTCTCCATCCACCCTGAATTCTCTCCCTTCAGTTGAGCCCCCAGGAAAAGGCCAGGTGTCAGGCATGATGGGGAAAAAGCAGAGTGAAATACCTTTGGCACCTCACGCCATCCACTGCCCATTCAACTCCTGTACCCTCGCCTTCCTAGTGCTAGGTGCCTCCCTTCTGTATCCCCCTCAGCTGCGCGTGTCCCCTCACTCTCCTGTTGAACCTGACACGTCAGTCACCCGTCTCTATCTCCTGCCTCTTCTGTTTAGAACCCTCCATTTTACAAGCCCCTGAGTTCCCCTACTAGTCCCTGCCTTGCCCTTCCTTCTGTTTCCTCTCCACCTTGTCTCTGGACTCAGAGTTCCCACACCACATCCCCTCTGTCTTCTCTCCCAACTCTGTCCACTCCGAGTCCCAGGTCAGCTCCTCTCCCTCCCTCTGGCTTTCCCTTCACCACCCCTGTCTCTCACCCCTGCCCCCTTAGTTTCCCCCTTGCCAGCCCCAGTTCCCACCCCCCTCACAGCCCAGTGTCCCCAGGGGAGAAGCCATACGTTTGCACGGTGCCAGGCTGTGGGAAGCGCTTCACCGAGTACTCGAGCCTGTATAAGCACCATGTGGTGCACACACACTGCAAGCCCTACACCTGCAGCACCTGCGGCAAGACATACCGGCAGACCTCCACCCTGGCCATGCACAAGCGCAGTGCCCACGGCGAGCTGGAGGCCACGGAGGAGAGCGAGCAGGCCCTTTATGAGCAACAGCAGCTCGAGGGTGAGGGGTGTGGGCAGGAGGTGGAGTGGGAACAAGCCAGGCGCCCTGTGACCATCCAGTGGCAGATGTCAGCCTGGCTCTCCTCTCCCAGCCGCCTCTGCAGCCGAGGAAAGTCCACCACCTAAACAACCCCGCATTACTTACCTTTCGGAGGTGAAAGAAGAGGGTGATGACATCCCAACCCAAGTGGCCATGGTGACTGAGGAGGACGGGGCCTCCCAGGTGGCTCTGATCACTCAGGATGGTGCCCAGCAGGTATAGGCCCAGGGAGGCAGGGGTGGGATGGATCACTCTGGCTGGCACCCTCTCCCACAATTCTCTGAAGGGCCCAAATTCTGATGCACTCCCCTTCCCCAGTTTCTAGCTGTTGGATCTCAGAGAGCAGTCTCTAGAATATATGGAGCACAGTTAATAGTTTCCCTCTTTACATGGAGACTGACAGGTCCTGATCATCTGAATGAGAAATATGGCTGCCCTTCTCAAGAGAAACATGGTGTAGGGGCCAGAGAAGGTTGTGGGATCTGGAAACATGGGATTTCTATCCAGCAGTATAATCTGACCCTTGTCAGCAAGTGCTCCAATCGTTTGAGTTGACATGAGAATGCAATTAGATGAGGCCCTGAATTGCATGGAACAGGGCTCTGAGCAAATTGGTGGCAAATAGAAGTGGTTGGCAAAACTTCTAGTATAGCCTCTTCGCAACCTAGGACTTCCTGTAATTGTTTGTCCCTAGCCCACTTCATCCCCGTGACATGAAGCTCACCTACTTAGCCAATCAGCTAATTTTAACCTGAGACAGCAGAGACATCTGCCTTGGACTTCAGGCAGCCCTTTACTGCACTTCGGGCTTATCATCTTCCTCCCTGTTGACAGGTCAGTCTGTCCCCGGAAGACCTGCAGGCTCTGGGGAGTGCCATCAGTATGGTGACCCAGCATGGCAGCACCACCCTTGCCATCCCCAGTCATGACGACAACCTTGCCACATCTGGCACACATACGGTCACCATGGTCAGCGCCGATGGCACCCAGACGCAGCCCGTATGACCAGGCGGTTTGCTTGGGGTTTCTTCTCTTGTCCTTCCTGTGGTGGGGTGGGTGTTAAAAAGCACAAGCTAAACTATTCAAGCCTTCTTTATAAGAAGACTACCCCCATTAAAAAAAGGCGGCGGGGGGGGCCTCCTGGGCCATCAGCAAGTCTCATCTCAGAAAGCATTTGGCCTAGAGATGAAGAGACAGGTCTAAATCACCACCTACCCCTAATTTGCCTTGTTTCCTTAGGCAAGTCACTTTTCCATGGGATTCACTCCATTTTAAAATGATGGGACTAAATTATATCTAGGCCCTTTTATAACTCTGTCCTTCTATGATTTAAAATCTCTAAATTAAATCGGACTATAAGAGAAAAAACACCCTCACTTAGCTCTGAGCCCCATGCTAATTAATCTGACCCATAATTATTTTATATATTCCTTCTGGGTTCCTAGGTGCCCTTCTTGGAGGGATTTTTACTTGGGTGGGGAGGAAGAGTAATGTTCGGTAGATTAGAAAACCTAATTCTCCTATATTCCAGGTCACCATCATTACCTCTGGGGCTGTAGTGGCGGAGGACTCAAGTGTAGCATCCCTTCATCATCAACAGGTGGCGCTGCTGGCCACAGCCAATGGAACACACATTGCAGTACAGGTGGGTAGAAGTCTGGAGGATCCCATAGTCAGAAAGGAACAAGGAAGCGGGTGGGGGGTGGGCGAGATTAGATGGAGATCTTAAAGAAAAGGCCATGTGGGCTCAAAAAGAGCCAATTTCAGAGGACAGATCCCTTTCTGCCTACATCTGCACACATATATCAAAACTTTCTTGACAGAGTGGTGAAGAGCCTTCTAACTTTTAGAATATCTTTGATGGTGGTATCCCTAGTTGTCTAAGTCCTTTATTTCTTTGTATCTCCATTTCTTTATCTGAAAAATAAGGCAGTGGATGTAGATGATTATTAAGGTCCTCTCCAACTAGTCATAACTCTGCTGTGAGCAAGCCAGTCTTGACCCTGGACCATCCTCTGGCTCTCTGGTGATGCCCAGCCTAATAACCTTTTTTTTTTGAGATGGCAATTAACTTTTATTCAAAAATGCAATAAAACATGAAGGGCTAAATATTTTTCAGAAACTCAAATTTCTCCAAAGTACAAATACAAGTAATGCCTTTTGGTAACATCAGGGAAATAAATAGGTTATTTAATACATTTAATTTTTTTTAAGATTTATTTTAAAAATAAAGAACTGGGGTTTAGGCAAGAGGCATGGGGAGGAGGGTAAGTGGATTCACCAGAAACAGAGTGGGCAACAGAGCAGGTGGATCTACTGAAATATACTGCTGAGGGGAGCAGTGAGCAAGACAGGCGAGGTCTGCTGTGCCATATGTGGGTGCAGTGCCCTGGCCGGGGATCAAACTCATGTCACAGAGGTTAGCGACAGCTTGATAGCACAGAGACTTAACCCCTGCGCCATCAGGGAGGCCCAATACATATACATTTTAAGATAAAAGAAGCCCCAAGGGAAATGTGATCTCTTTATTGCTTGAGAAACATGAGGATATTCAATATTCATATTTTTCCCCTTCTCCTTTCTTAGATGGCCAAATCATATTGGCATCCTTTGATTCTTCCAGTGTGTATAGTTCATGAATAAGAAACTGTTTGTCTAGTGGAACTATAGTTGATAAAATTTTTCTTTAAGTACAGAAGCTGTATACTCATATTTGTTGAATTCCAAATAGTCCTGAATTTAGAAGGTTTTTATGAGACAGTGATGGTCAGTTTTCACTTTCATCACCTAGATCACTGAAAATGTCTGCTCGAACCCTTGCTTTTAGATGCTCTAAAACTCTTTTTTTTCACGATGTCCTTTAAAAGAGCCTTTAGCTTGGTGACATTCTCCATTTTTCAGTGGCTACCAGGGGTGTGCTTCAGCCTAATAGACTCTTTCTTCATCAAGTCTTTATCAAACCCTTTATCAAAGATTGTTTTTGGGGATCATATTCAACACCCTGTGGCCCTAGGTGGATGGCAGACACTCTGAAAAGTAGCCCACAAAAGTATCCAGAGGGAGGGCTTACTCTGTCCTTCCTTCTCCATCCCTTTCTCTGCAGCTGGAGGAGCAGCAGACTTTAGAGGAAGCCATCAGTGTGGCCACTGCTGCCATGCAGCAAGGAACCGTGACCCTGGAGACCACGGAGTCAGAGAGTGGCTGCTGAGCCCAGAGAACTGGGTCCCACAGGGTGTTGGAGGAAATGGCATGCCGCATCCTTGCCTCCAAGGGCTGACTCGTGGAAGGTGACCATGTACGTCTCCAGGGCAAGAAGGCAGCGGGAAAACGGCCTAACTTGGAGCTCTGCCCAAGAGGAGGACTGGCAGCTGAAATCAGAGGAGTGCATCATCTTCAGGAGCTAAGGAGGACAGGCTTGGTCATCAGGCTGCACTGGGCTGTCCACCCCTCAAAATCAACTGGGTGCCCATTCTCCCTCTAGGAACACCCTTCCTGCCCTCAGTCTACTCCCCTTCTCAGGTGGACATAGGGGCTGCTGGAGACTGGTCCTCCACTCTGACTAGTCACTGCCCATAGGGTAAGAGGGCAGACAGCTCTTCAGCCCCATTTGGGGCAGAGCAGATCCAGCCCTGCCCCTCCCAGCAATAACCACCTCCCGCAGGCCAGCCAAGATGCCTGGTCACTGGCAGCAGGGACTTCCTGCCACTGCAATCAGAATTGCTCAGGGGCCTGTGGCTGGAGAAGGGTGCCCAGCCCCCACCTCCCAGCTTCTCCCCAACCTCTCTGTGGCTAAAATGCAGGGAGCACCTTTGTACATACTGAGGAGTGGATTTAATTTGTTTTGTTTTGTTTTTTTAATTCCATTTTGATATTTTTTTTTCCCCTGCTCTGAGCAGTGGTGGCAAACGGGTGAATGAGTATTTAATAAAAGTTCCAAGTTTCCACCTGGGTCCCTCCCTGTCTCCTTTCAGCTTTGCGCCCTGGTGACTGGGCTAGTCAAACCAGGCTCTTGACCCACTATCTCTAGCACAACCCCCACTCAGCCACAGTGCCGAACTAGTGGGATTGCCCTACGAGGGGCACAGGTGGGAGGAAGCCCAGTTTAAAATAAGCACTGAGGAGCTTCCAGTGACTTCCGCAGCTGAGCAGATGGGCACTAAGGGGGCCAAAAAAACCAGGCTCTGGTTGGATCTCAGGTCTCAAGATGGTTGTACTGGAAGAACTATTTTTCTACCTTACAACACCCCCCCATATATATCAATGTTGAAATATTCATCAATATATCAATACACATACTGATCACAGTTGGTGAATCCATGTGGGCAAAGCCCCATACTGGAGTAGGACTTGGGGTCGCCTTTGCCATGGATACTGAGGGACTCTGATGTCTCTGGTGCTGAAGTCTTGACAGTTTGGCATCTGGACCACACTGTAAAATTCCAGAACTACCACTGGACTCCACTTAAATGTGTATAGTAGGACCAGACCAACCCATGCTGGAAAGAAGGGAAGCAGGAGAAAGAACTTGAAGAAGAACATTATTGGGATTGGAGGTACAAAAACTCTCTACTGTGACGGCTGTACCAAAAGTCCTGTCCTGCCACCTTGGCATGGAAGCCTCTCCCTGACCCAGGCATCCTTTTCTGGGATGCGTGGTAAACTCCCCGTCACTCTTGCCACTGACTACTTGGAAGCAGAAGGACCTGGGGGATGCTTCCAGGCAGAGGGGGTCTCCGTTGCCTGAGCAGACTTCTCTAACCTCCATGAGCACTGCTCCTGGCGGGGGTATGCCCCAGCCGGCAGCAGCAGGTCTAAGTGGATGCCTAGGTGTGCAGGTTCCTGACTCCCAGCCTCTTGCGCCCGGCACTCCTGAAGCGGGGCCCCACCACGAGACTTACCGCCACGTGCGTCACAGTCTCAGTCTTCAGGGCCAATGGGCCCCACAGTGGGCAGTGCTCTGAGTTTAAGAGCCAAAGCCCAGAAGACGGGGAGGCAATAAGTCACGTGCTAAGTCCGCCTGACCTGGAGAGGTGCCTGGCCCAGTTCCTCTTCCAGCTTTGTGGTGTTGCTTTTGTTTTCTTCCACTTGGGAGCCCCCCACCCCCACCCCGCCACCACAGTAATGCTGAAAGAAACGCTTTATCTGTGCCTACTCTGTGCTTTACATCCACCCTCAGACATTCTTACGACTCTCTTGACGAGGTAGGTATTTTTCCTGCTTTACCAATGAGGAAACTGTACAAGGAGGTTAAGTGCTTATCCAAGGCTTACCTGGTAGTTGAGACTGGATCGCCAGCCCAAAGTCAGGAGGGGCTTTCTTTTTGCCTCAGCAAGCTGCTGCTGGGAACCCACGAGGCTCTAGAAAGTTCTGGGATAAAATAGATTTCTTTATAAAGAGGCTCGGGATTTCCTGGGCTTAGTCCCCAGCAAGGAAGTCAGCTGCTGAGTGCTGCGAGAGCAACAGGCGGGTTCCTGCCTGCACGGGGAGTCTGTGAGAACAGGCAGGTGGAGCTCTCGCTCCGCGCCATGGCCCCTCTGCGGTCTCTGCAGCCGTTTGCATTTCCTGAAACCGGATCTTTGTGTCAGAGCCGCCCCCAAGGCCGGGCTGGCGCCTCAGCCATGGCCCTTCGCAAGGAGCTGCTTAAGTCCATCTGGTACGCTTTCACTGCACTGGACGTGGAGAAGAGCGGCAAGGTCTCCAAGTCCCAGCTCAAGGTGAGGGGCAACCTGGGGCTCGGGAAGCCAGGAGGTAGCATTTCTTCAGCCTCTGCCACCTGGAAGCCAGTTGTAAACCCTGTGCTACTCCTGGGGCACCTAGCCATCCGGAGGCCCAGACCTGGGGTAGAGGCCAGTACTGGGTTGCTGAGGCACCATGGCCTGGTGGATGCCACTGTCCATTATCCAGATGGCCCAGTGAGGTATGTGCAGATTTGCTGCCTAGAGCCCTGCCCCCCAACTGTCGGAAGGGTGGTGGGGAATCATGGAGCTCGGAGGGCCATGGGCCAAGCTACTTCCCAGACTGTGTGATAAGCACACGTCTCTCCAGAATCAAGCTTGGGCATGCACCCTACTCCTTCCTGCCTCTTCCTCCTGGCTTTGAAAAGACAGTTAGCTAGTACTTGTCAATCTCTTCCTCCAGAGCTAAGAGAGCAGCTTAAAGGGCCTCTCCCAGTACCAAACCTGGCAGGCTTGTGTCGTCGCTCACCATCTTCTGGCAGAACAGTTTCTCTAAGCCGTTCTCTAAGCACTGCCTCACAGGGCAGGGGCAAGGACTGAAGTCCCCATTAGAATGCTTTCAGCTCACCATCCCCAGCCCCTACATAGTAGGTTAGGAAGCATACCTGCGACCTTGGTTCGGGAAAGGTTGGAATCCGAGCCTGGAGAATTGTGATTGCCCTAAAGTTCATTACTTGGCCCTAGATAATTCCTGAAAGGCCAAAAAGTTTTTTCCCTCCCATCCTCTAGTCCTGGGTTGGTGTTGCCTTCTCCACCCTGGGCCATTGGAACCAGGGGACACTGGGAGAAAGGAGCAGTGTAGGTCTCGGCTTTCTGGGACATGCCTTAGGGATTTCATTAGTTCATTCTACAAATATTTATTCAGGATGAAACTGTAAATGTCCTCTAGAACAAAAAAAAAAAAAAAAGGCAAAACTAAAGATGGCACATGAGATAATTTGAAGAGTGGGAATAAGGGTTGAGGGAGTCAGGAATGGCTGTCCAGAGGGAATGAAGGAAAAGAAAAACACCAGCCTCCTTTTTGGTCCCCCTCCTAACTTCCCACATAGTCAGTTGAACTGATATGTGCCTAGAATGGGACTAAGACCCATAATGGTATCTCCCTGGAGCCCCTACAAAAGAGGGGTACAGACTCAAAACTCTCAATGACCAGGGTAGAAGGTACCTAGAAACCAGAGAAATGAATGGGTCAGGATAAGCATTATGCCCAAACCGCTCCCCAACCTCCAACCTTGCCAGACACAATGAACTTGGATGTCCCAAACCGGTCCTGTCCCTTAGCCAGACTTGTGAGCACCCAATGAATGATTCTTGACTCCCCCAGGAAGGACCACCTTTGATCACCTGGGGGAGCCTTCCAACCGGCAGGTTCTTCCTTACATTCTACTTAAATCTAGTTGGGTCTTCAGTATAGAGAAAAGAAAATAATCCAAAATCCACCCCTGCAGAAACTCCATGCCCCATATTCACCTCCCACTCTGTCTGTCCCTTTGTATCCCTTTGTATGGAGTAATTCCAACCTCCATACTTAGTTGCCTCCAAGACACCATATTTCAAGACACCTTATTATCTACAGCCCTTGTGATCTCTCCAGGCTGTCTCTGCATCTCACGTATGGAGGATACAGCCCTTAGGTGGTTCCCCCTTTTAGGTGCCATCAGTAGTAAGGCTTTTTAGCTGGAGCCTTTAAGTGGACCAGTGCCTAATTCCCACGCACACAAGTAGGGTATTTACAGGGACAGTTCCATGGGGAGCTTGCATACTTGAACTGTCTGCTGTTTTTGTACAATATTACAGCTCAAATCAAGCCCATGACAGCAGCCTCTCTGGTCACACAGGATCAATGGTACTTTTCTCCACAGCTCAACAAAAAACTTGTCCACTCTGGGAATCTGAGCTAGCAGTGGGAGTCTTGGACCTGGTGGTGGGTGAGGAGAGAAATGGCAAGGGCCCTTTGTCATAGAAGAGAAGGACAAGGAAGGCAATTCTCCCCCGAGCCCACAGCGGTAGATAGTGGAATGGGAGGAAGTAGTGATAGTGTTGGGGGTGGGGATGCCGGAAAGGCAAAGGAGTAATAGAGAAGTGGTCAGAAGGCAGAGGAAGAAGCAGATGAGAGATAAACCAGCAGAGTCCATCCCTTCCCTGAAAAGACTTAGGGAGAAGGGAAAAGATCTTGGGGTTAGCCTGTCCTCACTAAAACTATCCTTGGCCTGAGGGTCCTTGGTTGGGACCAGGCAAAGGACCAGTCCCAGGGTCTCCCTGGTGGCACAGCAGTTGAGCGCTGGGCTGCAAAGCTGCCTGCAGCCTCTGCAGCGCCTCCGGTTCGATCCCTGGCCACCGGGCGAGGGTCCCACATGGCGCACAGACCTCTCCTGCCGCCCGCTGCTTCCTCAGCAGTGCACTTCGTCAGTCTGCCTGTTCTGCTCTCCGCTCTGGCTTTGGTGAATTCTCTCACCCTCCCGCGCTTATGACTGTACCCCAGTGCTTGTTTAAATAAATAAATAAAAATCTTAAAAAAAAAAAAAAAGAGATCAGTCCCAGCACAGAGGGCAGACAGAACAAACTACGTCAGTGACAATCACTGCTCCACTGATGTGTTGGCTGTCTGGGCAAGCCCACGGTGAGACCAGACGGAGGAGGAAGAACAGCAGGTCCTCAGAGAAGTAGCACAAGGAGTCAGGATTGTTTTCTCTGGAGCAGAGACTTGGGGGAGAAATCGTGTACATGAATTCATGTAGTAAATACAGTGGCCATTGTCCAGTTGGGCAGAGAACAGTAAAAATAGACTGATAGGAATGACACTTCTGTCCAGGATGGATTTAGGTTGAACACAAATTTTTCAGGAGTTGAGGGCTATGAGTTTTTGTAGGGTCTTCAGAACCACCTTCTCTAGAGAATTTTAGGAGAGAGTAGGCCCCCTAACTGGGCCGCAGGGAGGAAGGCCTTTGGGAATCAAGGGTTTTCTAGGGGCCACACCTCTTCCTGAGTGAGCAGCATTGGTTTCAGGTCTCCTGGGGCATCTGCTGAGAAACTGGCCAGTCACTCCCTGACTGCCAGACCTGGGGTGAGAGGACTGGATTGGGGATGTGGATGGAGCTGTGTCTCAGGCGTGATGAGGAGCTCGGGAAGCAGCCAGGCTACCGCTTCCCCTTGACTGCCAAGAACAGGAAGGAGGCAGGAAGGGCAAACATGGGCCTTCCCTACTTTTCCATGTCAAATCTCTCAGCTCTTGAGCCTCCAATTGGCAGTCATGAGGCCCAGATTTTATTATTATTATTATTATTATTAAAGATTTCTTTATGCATGCAAGAGCTGGGGTGCGGGCAGTGGGGGCGGGGGCGGTGAGAGGATTCACCAGAGACAGAGTGGGGAGCAGAACAGGCAGATCTACTGAAATACACTGCTGAGGAGAGTAGCAGGCGAGACAGGAGAAGTCTCTGCACCATGTGGGTAGCTCCCTGGCAAGCTCATGATGTAGTGGCTGCGGATAGCTTCATAGTGCTGACACTTAACTCCTGTGCCACCAGGGAGTCCCCGAGGCCCAGGTTTCTTGCCCACCAAGAGACTCTGAGCTTCATGCTCTGCCTACGCTGCGGAGGTACAGATGTCTCCTTGGTAGAGGACAACTCAAGTCCAGGAATGTGTTGGCTAGGGTCGTCAGCTTTGCCCTGACCCTACCTGCCATTCTCCTTGAGTGAGAATGGTGGGGAGGGGAGGAGGATTTAGTGATGTACAGAGCACTTGACTCAGAGCCACATAGGCTTACACCTACACTTCTCCCAGCTGGCTGATTTCGGGCAAGTTAACTTGCCCAGTTACTTGAAGCTCCAGTCACTCATCTGGAAAGTCAGAGGATTGAACTGGGTATCACCAAGCTATTCAATTAGCCCACAAAAATAAATTTTAATGAAGTATGTTAAGTAAAAGAAATTGATCCTCAGGCTCTCCTTCCCCTTTTATGAACCATTGTCTTTCTCCTGATGCACACCTCCAACCCCTCCGGCTCTTTTTTCTAATATCCAAAAGGGCAAGTTTCTTTTTTTTTTTTAATTAATTTATTTATTTATACCAGCACTGGGTACAGTCAGAAGCGTGGGAGGGTGAGAGAATTCACCAGAGCCAGAGCGGGGAGCAGAACAGGCAGACTGACGAAGTACACTGCTGAGGGGAGCAGTGGGCGGCAGGAGAGGTCTGTGTGCCATGTGGACCCTCGCCCCTGGTGGCCGGGGATCAAACCGGCTGCAAAGGCTGTGGGCAGCCTCGCAGCCCAGCGCTCAACCACTGCACCACCCGGGGAGGCCCAAGTTTCTTATTTTTAAAAAACAAGGAAAATAAAAGAGGCTTGCACAGCACAAGTGGGCAAAAAGCGCTCCCCCCGAAAGGGATGGGTTTGTGAAGAGATGCTAGCGGTGACACAGGCAGACAGGAGAGCTTCTTCTGATTCCTTCTTGCTCTAGCAGGCACACAACTAATCCAGAAATTCCCACCTTTTTATTTTTTTAAGATTTATTTTTTTTATTTATGCATACAAGAACTGGGGGGTAGGCCAGAGGTGTGGGGCCGAGAGGATTCACCAGAGACAGGATGGGGAGCAGAACAGGTAGATCTACTGAGATAAACTGCTGAGGGGAGCAGCAGGCGGGACAAGAAAGTTCTGCTGCGCCATGTGGGTTAGTTCCCTGGCAGCCCCCAAGGATCAAACCCAAACTCGAATTGGAACTCTGCTGCAGTGGCTGGTGATAGCTTGATAGCTCTGAGACTTTAACCCTTGCACCACCAGGGAGGCCCAAATTCCCACCTTTTTAAATTCCAGAAGTTCCTCCCTCTTGATAGTAGTTACGCTTTAGTACCTACTGATTGAGAAAATATATTCAGCAACTCTTTAAAAGATCTGTATATTTTAAAAAAATCACTTAGCACCTAGCTACATATAAAGGCTAAAGGCCATCTAGGAGAGAAAAAAAGATTATTCATTCTCT